GGGAAGCGCAAATGTTGTCTGTGAAACGCACTGTGTAGCGCATGTGGACAGAGCCGGAGCCTGCAGAATTGCGTGAAAAATAAACTAAAGGAGCAAGTAAGCTAATCACACTGTACTTCAGAGCGAGGCTTGTGTCAGGCACTCTGCAAATTTGCACTCTGATGAGCACTGGTCCTTATCTACAGCTCTTAAAAGAAAACGTGTCTAAACTAGGACAAAATTAGGGAAGTGTAGTGGAAAAGAATAAACTGAATTTTCCTTCAGTTCTTTGCAATTACAGAAGCCCTTTCCAATACAAGCACCAGACAGAACCGTCCGCCGTCACCGACCAGCACGTCCTCCTGCCATCAGCTCCCTCCTCGTCCGGCCCAGCAGCAGCGACTCTCAGCCTTCGTGACAACCTTTCCTTCGCTGCCTCAGATCAGCGTCCAGAGAGCCCGTCCACCTGTCCTGTTATTATCAGTACCTCTGTTGAATTAGATTTTCAGAAGAATATGAAAATTAGAGATTAAAACTTGAAACCGTATAAAACGACTGAGTTTTCAATTACCGCCTGAGGGAGTGCATCTTTTTGTCCCTGTCTCTGTTCCTGCAGCAGCAGCTGGATGAAAACCCGTCTCAGGGCTTGCATCCGTCATGTGGGCGCTGGGGGTTCGCACACGGGAGGCAGCGTTTCAAACCCCAGCTGGTTCCCGCCCTCGCCAGCAGTGAGCCCGGGCTGTGGGGACGTGTTCAGTGTGGGGTCAGAACGTGAACATGTGTGAGGGCCCTCGGACCTCCCCCAGCCCGTCCCCCACCCCCACACGCCACCTGGGCACCCACCTCTGCCCCCCCCACCTGCCGGCTGCCTGGTCGGATCGAGGTGGCCTGTGGGGGGAGATGGTGGGGGGGTGGCCCAGGACGGGGCTGGGACTAGAAGACACGCGAGCCCAGGGCAAGTACATGACCACCCACCGCGCGTTCTCTCTTTCAGCTCTGCAAGGATGCCAAGGTGTCATCCAACCTATTCACGTTGATTAGAAGTGACATTTTTAAACTTTTACTGTTGTAGAAGCAATCTAGCATTAGACGATATGAGGGAGCGATGGACTTCCTAGGGACGGTCCT